CTTTGGGAATGGTGGCTTTGACATCTAAATTTTATGCTTTTAAACGTGTATGCAAGACTATTTCGTGTATAAAAGTATTTAGAAGAAATTACATGTTGTTAAATATTCGGCGAACAGTTATTTTGTTTTATTGATTATAAGAACTAGGCATCTCAAACTTGCCCATTTCTTTACCTTTTCATGAAAAGGTCAATTTTTTGGGTTGTTATTATTACCTTAAAACTGTCTCGTGTTATCGTACGACAATAAATGCGAACTAGTTGAACGAGATCCATGCATTGATTGATCTGATCTCTCCGTTTCACTCTCATCCTCGTGTCTCATTGAAACAAGAAAAATACTGATCAAACTGATTTCGGCGTTGCTCGCCAAACGACTAAATACAAATCGTTATCGCCTCCCACGCAAATAAACGCACAGTTTAAAATCTGAAATTAATCAATTCCGCCTGAGTTAGTACGTGCGAATCTCAGTGGACCATTGGCTCGACAGGCATAAAAAATATCCTTCTAACGTGAACGATTTTGAGAGGAGGAGAGCACGTTGATAAGCCGTTCAATAAATAGGCATCGTACGCTCGCTCCTTGCTTCCTGTTGATATTTGCCGATCGAAAGTAGGAAAGCGATTATGGAGTTACTCTGGGTCGCACTAGTAGCCGCGGTCATGGTGAATCCGAGCAGGGCCGTCTTTGACTGCCGGTCGAACGCGTGCACGGCCAAGGGCAAGAGACACGTTCTCTGCACTTATCCCGTAAGTACGAATCCGTTTTTTCGTTTGAATAGGGTGCGATTCCCGTTGACTCGTGTATGAAAACGGTGCGTACGTGAAAGATCGTCCGCATTCGTCCGAAGTGTACTCTCTTATGTACCACGCGTAAAGGAACGGACGCGTGCGATAGAGAAGAAATAAATGCACACACCGTGATCACTAGCTACTTTTAATCTCATTTTCGCTCGACGAGCGTAAAACTTGTCGTAATGACGATCCCATCGATGCAGAACCCGACTCCGGCGTACGAATGCGGCAACATACTATCCAAAGGTTTAAAGGATTGGGAGAAGAAACTGATCGTCGACAGGCACAACGAGCTACGAGCGTACGTGGCGCAAGGGTTCGAAATTCAAGGACGTCCGGGACCGCAACCCGGGGCGTCGAACATGCGAATACTGGTATAAATGCGAACGATGCGATCGTTATAGAATCAACGTCAGAGAATCGTTTTTTTTTTAGAGTTGGGACCCGGAATTGGCCGAGATAGCTCAGAGATGGGTGGAACGATGTCATTTCGAAAACGCGCCCTGCGTTGACGTTGGTAATTACAAATTATTCATAAGTCAAACGCGGTCGAGTGCGGCGAACGATTAGGTCTCGAAAAACTTTAGATGAAGCAAACGAATGGAGTTCAGTATTAATCGTCTGAATATTTCAGAGAGATTCGACGTAGGTCAGAGTTACGTGATGCACTACAACGACGGGGACGTGATAACTTCGAACATCACCGCGTTGGTCAACTACATGTACGCGCACGTGAAGGACATGGACAGTACCAAGGTGTGCAAGAATAAGTAAGTTTCTCATCGGAGATTAAAAATTGCCGAGCGAATCGAAGTTTGCAGCGAACAAATTTACGAAACAGGTTCGATCCGAGGAGCTACCTCTACACGAACATGGTCTGGGCGAAATCGTACAGAATAGGTTGCGGAAGCCTGCTCTACCGTACAGATCTTCTGAAACTCACTTTGTATTGCCTCTACGGACCGAAAGGTAACATCCCTGGTAAACCGGTGTATCAGACCCTGCACACGTAAGGACATTGGACGAGAGTCATCGACGTGTATTCGATAAAGAATCGACGAATTAAATAAAGACCGTCCTGAGCTGATCGGCTGTCTACGATACGATAAGCTCATCGACGTTTCGATCCATGAATACTGATTATCGAATTTGTTAAAAATAAATGCCTTTTATCCGAGTTTCTGATACGCCGCCATAAAATGTAAAATAATAATTTATTGTGAGAGAGAAAAGGGGTTTGGCTAGAGACGTCTGAAACGTTGTTCGAATCAAGTAGTTCCGTCGAATTTTGTCTGAATGACAAAAAACTGGGTCAGTTTCGATCGGGACCGATGTCGTCAATGCACACGCGCTGTATAACGTCCCATAAAGGTCAGCGAGATCTGAGAAACGCCTGAAATGTTATTACGATGAACGCATAAATCGCGGAGAAACTTCGACCACCCTCTTCGCGATCACTTTTCCACTCGAACACCGTTTCTGAAAGGTTCCTTTCGTTTTTTCAACGACGAGGTCGATCGGAGGCGAAAAAAATTTCCGAAACGATTCTCACGATCGAGAAAGTCAGGAGTCAGGTGCCGGTCTGAATGGAGGCCACGACTTCGATCCCATTCACTGTTTCTCGACGGACCGGGGAACGGCCACCCGCCCATCGTAGCCCTATTTACGGTGTCAGGGAATTAAAAGAGAAAAAAAATACTGAACGCAGACAACGAGGGAACAGCGAATGAAGACGATATTTCAGGGTAACATCGTGAGATCTCGACTGTCGTGGGAGGGCCACCTCGCGTCCGATGAAAAATGGGTGCCATCGACGTCAACTCGAAAGGATGATTATGGGCGTAACCGGTTGGGTCGCGAACGGTATCGCGGGCGTATGGCATTAACAATGACCTCAGGTAGAATTAGATCATTTGTCACGGTATCTCTCGTGGCAGTGAAAATTGTACGTCGTCGTAAGACGTACAACGTAAACCGTGTGCTCGCGATCAGTCGTTTGGATTAATGCAACTTGCGTCACTCGTCAACGATGATCTCGGCTTCTTGGTTCGATCTCGATGAGAGAATCGTTAGAAGAGCAGAGGTGGTGGACAGGTCTCAAAACTGGCGTGAAAACCGTGCGAGAATCGTCCCCTCGTTACTCGATCGGTCTCTCGAATCATTCTTCTCCCTCGAAGAGATCCTTCTCTCGTCCCACGTAGGTACAATATCTTGGTCAATCGTCGTTTCGTTCACCGCTGACCGCAGGCTTTTCTTTACCGTCGATTCCCGCTGGAAAAGACGTCTGTCTTTCCACCTACCACCGCGACCGTGCGTGTCACGCTGTTTTTCGTACATCGTGACATTTCCTACCTCGAGTTGATCTACCGGCAGGTCTGATTTATTGGTCAGAATTATTTTCAAGAGACGTCGACCACACAGAGAGAGAGACGGTGTATACGAATTTCCATCACACCCGAAGGGATGGAAATCGATGTGGAAGAAGATCCAGATTCGAATTCGTCCAAATAAATAGATAATGATAATCACGAGTCGTGACTGACTCGAGGAACTGCCACGTTCATTGGAACTTTTCGTAATCACAGAGAAACGTGAACCTCCGTTACCAGGATGAATGGGATAGTAGACTTCTGCGAAATACAGCGTACAATGATCACGGTAGGAGTCAGAGTCAATTAGGAGGATGGTGTGAATGAGCAGAACGGGGTCCCGGGAGAGAGACGTCGTTCATCGACAAGCTATGGCCCTCCTCAAGAATGGAAACCACCGGCGGCAACTCATCTGGCCGTGACGAACCGATCAGCCACGGCTGCTCCTACCGCGGATGAACGAACGACGCGAACAGTGACTCGTGCATTCTTACGCGTCGCAGACCTGTCTTCGCATTTTCGCTGGCTTCGTTTGGAGACAGGACAGATCGTCCCATGCTGCCGACGCGATCGAACTTATATATTTTTTATATATGCAAAGTGCAAATTTCATCTCCTCTTCTTTTTCCTTTTCTTATCTCTTTTCGTCGGCTTCGGCGGTGCCCCGGCTTTGAAGCAGTCTTCCTCTGCCTCGAGAGCGACCTTCTCCGATTCCGACAATTTTATCGTGGACGAAGACATAGTCAGCGAAGTGGGTGCAGCCGATGGACTCGGCGGTTTCGGTGTCCTCATCTCGAGCTCTATGTTCTTTCTCGGTTTGTCGTCAGCATCTGGTTTGTTCTTCACTTTTAACAAGAACACGTTCTCGTCGTCCAACGTAAGCCGATCGGTGTGCACTTGCTGAGCACCCGCACTGTCGGCAACCGGATAAATAGTGACCGTCCTACACTGATCGTTCGTATTTGGCCCACCCCTGCATTGGCCGACCTGTGCGACGAGCAAAGCGGAGCATGAGCGTTTTAACACAGCCTTCCCAATATGTACAGGGACGTTTAAATAAAGTTCTAACTTCGTAAGAGACGGCTTGAGGCATCATCTCGTTGCCATCCTTCTTCGACATGGAGGACCTCGACTCGATACGGAACAGAATTTGATTGTTGTCAGCGACTTTTAATATCTTCGGTCCCTCTTTCCCGGTGGGCCTCTGTATCACCACGTCGCAGTCACACGGCGGGTCCCAGTCCTTCAGCTTCCTCGATTTCCCCTTCTCCCTTTCCATGCGGATTATCAACCGATTCCCGATCATCTCGGTCCCGATTTCGCGGTAGTACTTGGACGACTCGTCGTCCTTCGGTTTCGAGGGCGGACAGTCCGGTGGGCAGGGTGCCGGTGGCATCGGAGGACAAGAATACATTTCGACGAACGATCACGACGACCGACATAGAGAGGAAGGGTAGAATTTCGAGACGTGACGCTCCGATCTGTGAACACTTGGAATTTAGACGAGAAATCGGTAGGACCGATCCTTAATGGGAGGAAAAGGGGAAAAAGGTCGTCGCGTCTTTGACGGTTCGGGGCGGATTCGCGAATCGATGTCTCGCGAAACGAGTTCAGTTCGGGCAACGTCGGACACGTTCACGATGCGCACACCAACCTCTTTCCACCATGACGCCGTTCTAACGGTATCCGCTCCTGTAAAATTCATCCGTCAACATGCAGATCGATCCCTTCTTCTTCCTCTTCTTCTTTCTCCTCTTCTGAGCCGGGACCGAGATGATAGTAGCCACGCATAAGTGCGGATGTCCACCGCCGTCGGACGAGTCTTGCCTGCCTTGCTGCGCTTCCGCGAAGTCTCGTGAAAAGCCTCGGGATCGGGATTGCCCCACGATTCCTTATAGCGTCCCGAGACCAGTCACTCCTCAGCCAGAGATCGAACAAGCCCCTTCAGCGTGCTGTCCCGTGGATCCGTGCGAGTCCTACGAAGAAGAAAAAAAGGATGTTCGTTCAGAGATCGCGGAGAGCGGTTTACCGTTCAAAGAACTGGAAGCCGTGATCAACGAGAACAGACTGGTGATCAGAACACAAGACGAACCGGTGAGACCGGAATTCGATCCGCCATGCGATTGCGTCGAGGACACGTTGCCGAAACGGAAGACAGAGGAGATAGGAATCACTCCCGCCGCTGGCAAAAGAACCATCACGTTGTACCCACAAGTGAAGAACTCTGACCCGGACGTACGCGAGCGGCGCCCTCGCGCCCACGAGCAGGCCTACGACGCTCGCCCTCGGACGATCGACCAGGAGGAGAACCCGAATATATTTCTGTTGAGGGTGAAGAAGCGGAAGACCGAAGGTGACAAGAAGTTCAGCGTCGATCTCGAGTTCAGAACCGCTCGTCCGTGGTCGCCCGCAATGAGATCGGTGTACGAGAAGCTGGCGAGGACCGTCGAGCCGGCCAAGGTGCCCACGGTGCAGGAACAGGTAAAGAAGAAGAAGAAGAAGAAGAAAAGTTCCTCGAAGCAGAAGAAAAAGAAGTGAACGACACGTCACACTTGTCACACTCGCCACACTTGCAATTAATCATTCGAAAATGAAACACTGTAACTACCCCGTTGACAGAATTATAATAAACTCTCCATTAAGGTGCTATCTCCAACACATAAATACTGTCTAACGTGTTTCCTTGTATTTAGAACTTGAAATATGCAAACTGTTAAGACAGTGACGAACGTGATGGTGGAAACTGAAAATTTTCTTGAATTAAACTAAAACGAGTTTAAAGTCTTATCAAATCGCAATGCGTCACTTTACGTCGCTGCGCTATTTTTCACCGTCGAGTACTCGGTACATCAGACGTAAAACGGGATGAACGTTGATCGATAAGATCCGATCGATACAGCACCCGGGTACCGTACCCTCGGTCCTTGATTTAGAATCCTCGAGAAGTGTTTTTTTTTGTCATTTAAAGTAAACGACAACGGTGATAACGAGCGTGCGATTAAAATGGAAATAGGAGACGGTTCACTATTAGGACGGGAGATAAATCAAAACAGCACGCTAAAGAAACGACGAAAAACGATACGCTTTGGCCGATAAGCCAGGCAATAAATACAGGTATACGCGTTCAGTACAAGCGTATGTACAGTCCGAAACTGGGCTTTTGAAGTTGACGCAGCGATAAGAAGATAATTATGATAATGAAGATATTTCTCTGTATCGGCATTGTCCCGTTACTCGCGATCGCGAGTATAGCCTTCGACTGCAACGAGTACTCGTGCAAGTCTAATCACACCTTGTGCAAGTATCCAGTTAGTACAGAACATAATTTCAACGCCTTGTCATATACGTGTTTGTGTCTCTCGCACGTTTCTGGCTCTCGTTCGTAATTGCAGAATCCAGAGCCGTCGCCGGCTTGCGGTTGGGTATTTTCTACAGGATTCACGGACGAAGAGAAAGCTAAGATACTCCAACAGCATAACGATCTTAGAGTGTACGTCGCCGCTGGATTGGAGAAACGAGGCGTGTCTGGTCCTCAGCCTCCGGCCTCGAACATGAAAACCCTGGTATGATTTACAGAATATATTAACCCCTTCCCGTGCCATTTAGCTCGACGAAACTATCTGTATTAATTATAAGTACTATCTGTACTAAGTATCTGTTCGCAACTCAGACTCGTGATATTTATGTTTGCCCCACGTATCTGGTCGCGAGACAGACTCGTGATATTTATCTTTGCCCCAAGTATCTGGTCGCGAGTCAGACTCGCGATATTCATATTTGGGCAAAAATCTTCATCGCGAGTCCGAGTCGCTAAAGTACGGGAAGGGGTTAAAAAAAATATCCGGTCTTCTTGTTAGAGACGCATTCCAATCGGTTCGATGTCACTGTTTCGTCCTGTTCATAAGGAACTTGAATTTTAAGATCTGGGACGATGGCTTGGCCGAGGTGGCTCAAAGGTGGGCCAATCAATGCGAGTTCGGCCATGATCAATGCAGAAATGACGGTAAAAATTTTTCTAGTCTATACCGTTGATCGAACACAGTTTTCGCGTTTTAAATTTCGGGTTGATATCATAAACGAGCGATGTCGGTGTGTTTAGCATCTGACGGATACGTCGGGCAAAATTCTGCCTGGAGTCAATGGTTCAACGAAGCTGGCATCAGATTCGAGCAGCTCGTCCAATCGTGGTACGACGAAGTGAAAGACTTCGACAGGAACCAAATTTCTCAACTCACGTACGTAACTGCACGTACGTAATCGCTGTCGACGCACAATTTTTCTGATATCCTCGTTCCTTTATCAGAGGCGAGAACTTTGGGCAGGTAGCTCACTACACTCAAATCGTATGGGCGAACACGGACAGAATCGGTTGCGGCAAGATCGAATATAACATGCCACATTCCCCGTGGACGACTCTGTACTTGGTCTGCAATTACGGACCGGGTGGAAACATAATAGATGAACCGATTTATGAAATCAGACAATTGTGACCACTGAAACGAGTGGTTCGTCATGAAAATGTGTAGCCAAATTTTTAGAAGACATATATGTATCAGTAGAAGTAAAATAAAAGAATAATTGCATGCACTTACAGCACATTGAATACAAAGATTATTTCTATCGATTTACACTCTCCATTCCCACTTTCACCCCCGTCGGCGTCGCCGTTCTCGGTATAAAACTTACGAGAACGTCGCGTCGGCAGCCTCTCTCGTTGAAAACGGTCAGGGTAAACTCCCAAGATTCGCTCGTACGCGATTCTAAACGATCCATATATCAAAGAGTCAACGCGCCCCGGGCGTCGTGGACCGGGAACCCCGTGGGGCCGTGGGCCATGCCGATGCTCGTCGTCGGCCACCTGAACGCTGGCGTACGACGCCAGCGACTGCCTATTAGGGGCTAAACGATTTTTAAACGGGGAGACGGATCGCATCGAGAGCGTCGGAGACGCAACAATGACGTGGGCAAACGTTTTGATACACAGGACCACCCGGTGCTCGTCGCACATCCATAGCCGTGAATCGCCGATTCAGGTAATACCGGGGAAGATCGAGAGGCTTCTGGGCACTGGAAGAATCGCAGTGGCGAATGCAATTTTAGAAAGGGGACGCGGATCGCTCGTCGAGAGAGAAGGTATCGAGGGAACGGTATATCTTCAAGAATAAGGGCAGTTTAAAAGGACGAATGCCTAGAAGAAACAAGATGTCGACACGAGGGAAACGCGCTGGGAGATTCCATCGAAGAGAGAGACATCGATGCGACGTCGAGATTTATTTTTGTAATGGTTGACAACGCGAAACGTTTGCCACGGAACTGTCTGATAACAATTATTATCTCTGCGCTCACCTTTGCAAGGAAAGTCTTCCGCCGACGCACGAAGTGGATAGGCAAGTGTCGCGAATCGTTGAAACGAAATCGACTGTGTTCGCGTTCGCACCTCGCACCGGGTGTTCTTCCTGTTCCCCCAGATTCCCTTCGATGATCGAATCTCGTCGACGGGGTGTCGAATGGAAAACTCAGACTTCCCAATAGCGCTTCCCATGTCGTTGAGTAATAATTTACCTGGTAGAGATCAGGGTCGAACCGGTCTTTCGTTCAAACTTCTTCCTTTGAAACATTACGAATTAACAAAGACGTTTCTTGTGTTTGGGAAATTAAAGAAGTCGCGCTTCAGAAGTCGTGTGCAGCTTACCAAATCCTGGCGTAAAATAGTCGAGGGGATCGTCGTCGTAATCCGAGATTAGGGAGACTGTAATCCGAGACGTTTAAACGATTCAAACCCTATAGAATCGAAGTCACCCTCTTTCAAACGTCGAAATAACCCGAGGATCGTTGGTGAAACGACATGGGGTAAATTATGGATGACGTACTGATTCGTTGCGAAATGGAACAGGTATCGAGCGAAATTATGAGCGAAGATCGACGTGGAGACGTGTCACCTTCGTAGATTCCACGTGTGATTTTCATAAATGATTCAATGTGCATCTTCGATACCTGTACAAAGAAAATGCGCGCGAACGAACGAAAGGGAACGTAAACGTCGAGCGAAGGTGAATAGAAACGAGTGGAGGGCGCGTTGTAATGTATCATGGAATCGGTAGGAGGGTGTCATCGAGCTCGGACGAATGTCTCAGCGGGGGTTGCTTGCTGGCACGCTACGCAAAATCAGCCTGTCCAAGTGTGAGAATCTGATCTGCACTTGGTCCTGCGCTGACCGAGTTTTCCCAACTTCGACGGACCGAGGCGAACACACACCATTGTCCTCCCATTCAACGGATTCGTTTTATCCGTTCACTTTTCCCGTAAACTGTTCGACTTCTTCTCTCTGCCATTGAGGAGACATTACTAAATAGTGGCAGTGCCCGTGTAATCGTTGGGACAGAGAATGGAGGCCCAACGGGTCTCGAAACACAGTCGACAGTCGTTCTTTTCGATGGAGATAGAATGAAATTGCATAGGACCTTCCCTCTATCAGGCAATTGCAGCTACAATAAACAATTCCATCCGATTTTGCAATAAATAATTGTATTTATTAATTAATTATTGATTCTAACTAAAAAAATTTCTTCTACCTCGAATTTATTATCGAATTCAAGATTAATCGATTAATTATTTCGTAGATTATACAGTTGGTTCAACATCGACGAGTGTTTTGCTTTCTATTTCTCACGTTTATATTTTTACTAATATATTCCAGAAGGCGTAAAAAATTGCAGACTTTTTCGTACGACACAAAGTCCCTTAAGGCTGCCACTCTTCAATAATCTCTCCCCGGTGTCTGCACGGTACGTGAAATCTTTTTTATGTACATACATATAAATGCATGCGACTCCGTGGTCGTCGACATAAGAGGAGGAGACGATCACGAAAAGGTATAGCACGAGGGATAAAAATTGTCACCGCGATCACAGCCCGATGAGTTTTCAAGATGGGGAAGCTGATCGAATTCAATTTTTTTGCCTGACCGCAATCTGGCCACCACCCCTCGACAACTTCCCATTCCGGGGTCGACCGAAACATTTATGTACGCGACCACGAGCCGTCCCGCGAAGAGCGTATTGCGGCCAAAGCGATGGCAGAGAAAAAAAAACGGAAGGAGGGCTGAACGAGCCAGACCGAGGCAACCGACCCTTCCGGGGAGCGTAAGGGCGCGACCCTCGCTCGCGAACCCTGCCTTCCCTGGCAGCCACCCTATCGCATGGAAAAGGGATTCCCGTAGGGGTTCGCGGAGAGATTTCCGCAACGCCATTTAATCGTGGGGAAAAATGGTGACGTCCATGATGCCTCCAAACGTTTGCATCGTTTCCTCGTTTTAAACGTTAAAAACGCTTCTCAACCGAGCCTTTTCGAAACTGCAAATCGAATCGAAGATCTTTGTTCGTCGAGAGGAAGAGGAATTCGATTGGTTCAGGGAGTGGTTTGTACGAGAACAGACTCGGAAATTAGTAGCAAAATAAATAACAATTTATTCACAATTCCTTATAAAGGATATTCCGTTCTCTCGTACGATTCGCATAAATAGTTCTATATTGCATCGTACGTTTGACTAGAGTTTCATCGGTAAAAGGTCGTATCAAAAATACTTTACGAATCAGAGTCTCGGCGAGCGTCCCTCGAACGATCCTATATAAAATACAAACAACCGTTTTCTCAGAGCAACAACGATCGTCTGGTACAACGTCTGACCGTACGCGATGTACAAAGCTGTAATTATTTATCTGTACAACGCGTAAAACCGTCTGTATGAGAGCGTATAAAAAATACTGTCTAATAACAAGATCGACGCGTTTGACGATGCGACCTCCGATCATATCGGATAGTACGGATGAAACGGATGGCCTCGAGGTACGGCGTGTCCCAGAGCCAACATCCCCAGCGCGACTGCCGACATTCGGTAAGGATCTCGATTCTCGTGCGTTCTCATGTGCTTCTTCAAGTGATCCTTTCTGCCGAATCGTTTTCCGCAGATGACACACGGATGTGGTCGAAGTCCTGTGTGTATCCTCTTGTGCCTCGTCAACTCCTCATTCCTGGTGAACGATTTTCCGCAGCCCTCCGCGTCGCATTTAAACGGTCTCTCCCCTGTGAAACAAAGTCGACGTTAAAAATTCTGAATTGGTATGGAAGTGGGAAGATCGAAACGATCAGATCTGAAACGCCTGGACGAAACTTACCGGTATGTATACGAACGTGTCCTTTGAGCTGGCCGTTATTGCTGAAGGCGACGTCGCAGTGTTCGCATCGGAATTTCTTCGGGCGCAATTTCTTCATCTGCTTCGCGACCGCGTCTTGTCTGTGGAGCATCTCGACGGCTTGCTCCATCGTTGGTGAACACGATCCCGAAGAATATCGGACGAACGGGTATCCATAATAGAACTGTCCCGACGTCGAGGTGGCCGGACCGAGAGGAACGCGAGGCTCGATGGGCGTGAAAGATGGTCCATCGTGCAGCGTTTCGAATCCGCTTGTACCAGACAGAATCGTCCTCGAAGGACAGCTCAGTGGACACGTCGGAGCGAACACCGGATACCCGCTGGTCATAGGACAGGCTCCAAGAACCGATGTATGTTCGACGATCGATCGAGCGAACATGGTTTCAGCGGACGATTCAATGGCGAAGTCACTGGATGAATTTGAATCGCTGCCCTTTGTATCTTCTTCGCTGCCGACGGATTCGGATCTACCGGTGTCAGCCTCAGCGGAAGACTCGCTTCTACCGCGTGGTCGCCACGTGGCCCGACGCGACGAAGGAGCTTCGTTCTCCGAAGCACCGTTCTCGTCGCACGTGGAGACCGATGCTGAACCGTGACCATCTTCCTCGTGCTCGACGATGGGTATTCTCGTATCGCTCGTTTCGTCTTCTCGCATGTTCGCTACTTCATTTCCTTCGATCGAGTCGGCGGCGCTCCATGGCCTGAAGAATGCTAAACTCCTCTTTTCGCACATTTCGGTCTTACGCAAAGTCACTCAAAGATGCTGAAAGACCGATGCACCCATGCACTGGCGAACGCTTGTGAACACTAGACGACAAAGTCCAGTCGTGAATGAGGACACGTCGAGGGTACGAAGCCTCGAGGGTGACTGTTCATTTCGACAAAGTTCGCCCCACAGTTATATACCGTCCATGGTATCCACCCTCCGTTTCGTATTGGAGCGTTTGCCGGCGAAGGCCCCGACCATCAGGGCGAGGGAGGCAGAGGCACCCTTGCCGGCAAGGGCAAAGGTGGGTTTCAGAGGGGCCGGTCGAGGGCTACGCGATACGCGTCCCCTTTGTCGGGAATTAATCGGTCGCCACGGCTATGGGGCTCTCCTTTCTTTGACCGGGCAACGAGAAAGGGAGACGAGTCTCCGAGATCGAAACCCCCGTTCGGGCCCACCTCGCCCTCTGTGCGCCTGTTTTTATTTGATCCCCGCGATTCGATCGTCCCGGTCTCGTTGACTTACAAGCGTGATCGATTTATACAGTTCTTAAGCATTAAATCGCAATAATTTGTTCCTTGCTACCAATTCCAGCCGATTTGCGTTCGAGTCTTGACTCAAACCGGATCGACATGATTGGGACTGAATAAGAAGAGAAAGGAACAATTTTACTTTGAACGAGTTTCATTATTGAATTTTCTTTCCTTTCCGATTTCCTCGACTCGAATCCCGAACGACAGGGCGACGCGTGACAGGAAGCAACTATAAATTGTTTATACGTCCGATCGTTGATCGGGACCCGGGATGCACTTTAAACACAATGAAACGGACCTTCGCGTCCTTTGCTCTCTATGACTCCATGGGACACGTTCTGCAGAAGTCACGAGGGTGGAGCGCGTATCGTTGATTTATCGTAACGCTCGAGCCATAGCTACCCCTCGCGAGTCCGTTCGGTCCTTCGTCCTCCATTGCCACTTATGTATTTTCCTCTCGTAACTTCTTTGTACCCTTCCGTCGAGAACGCTACCGTGAAATCAACCTTGGGACCGTCGATAGGTCCACCTTTCGTGTCGCGAGATCATTGCTCCTTTTCCGAGCATATACTAAATATTTTAATCCAGTTAATGAAATTTATAGCTACCTGCAGGTACCAATACAATAGCTAGTAAAATACGTCATGTTGCTGCTACAATTATTCTCAATGTAAGCAACGTTTCTTGGGAATAACTTTTGGGACGTTTACAATTTAGTTGCCCGGATATTGAGTAAATCATACCATCCGCGAACCCTTTTCATCTGAACGAAGTGTAGCCACTATCGTTAAGGGTGTATTGGCTATACAATCAATTCCAAAAGTTTATATACCTTAGAAACACGCATTTCTTATGATTAAAAAGAAATCAGACGTGGGAAGAATAATTCTAATAATAAATAGCTACGTGCTAAAAAGTATAGAAAGAAATATCCAATTAAGTATTGATGCTGACGAAAAATTTTTTTTTCAAAATTGCGAAAAATGCTTCAAATAAAAGTTGTTTTCCTTCTAACTTCGATATTTAACGGGTTAAGTACGATTAATTG